GCTCGCTGGGTCCCGCCTGCGGCCCCTGCGGCCCCGCTCGGCCTGCGACTCTCCTCTCGCGCGTCTGGCTCCCTGGCACACTCACGCACGTGGGCATGTAGAAGAGCGCTCGGCTTTCTCTCGGGCTCAGGGCAGCCCGGGCGCCCTGGGCTCGTGCAGAACAGTGCCGTCTCCTTCAGTGCTGCCCTCTCGCACCTTTCCAACCTGAAGTCTTTTTTTTTTTTTTCCTGGGAGGCGCCTCTGAGATCACTCCCAGGCTTGGCTTTGCCCCCAGGAAGCGCCAGCCAGGCCCCAGGGTCCTGACAAAGGAGAGCCTGGCTTTTTGCCCCCAAGGGAATCGTCCACCCCCACTTCCAGCAGGTTTATAAAAACAGGAGCTAGGACAGTGCCTGCCTGTGGCAGGCGGTCCGGGGCACTGGTGGCTGGCACAGCTGCCAGCGGCGTCTGAGGGTCTGCGGTGAGACCATGGGCTTCATCCCTTAGGATGAAGCAAAGGCAAGACCCTCACCCAAGGCTTAGGGTCCACCACGACTCAAGCCAGAGCCCAGCAGGGTTGGGTTTTGCTATGCCTGTCAGGATTGCGCCTGTTTCTTGTAGAATCTGAACAGCTCTGTTTTAATTTTACTAATGTGAACCAAATGGACAGTCGAGATGCAAAGCTCACAAAACCACCAGAGTGTCCCTGGGAGGAACAGATCTCTCCTGGGTTTTAGGAGAGTCCTAGTCTGGATTGTATGAGCAGGAGAACGGGTTAACAGATGGCATCTGGACATGAGGTGCCGTAGAGCAGTCGTGGACCAAAGTGGTAGCTAGAAAGAGGGCCTCAGGGGGAGCGTGGGTCTCAGGAAGCAGCAAACAGACCGCACATCCAAAGGGACACACAGAAGATCCGAGTTCCCCAGTCAAGACATCTCAGGGAATAGGGAGCGGGAAGGGGACAGAGGAGGCCTGATCCTCGCTTTGTGACAAAGGGGCTGACTGCATCTGCTCTGTGGGTACCCGGCCCAGGTTACGTTTGGGGGGAGTGAATGACTGAGTGTTATCAGGCATGTGGGGTGTCAGGTGTGGGTGAGGAGGGGGGACTTGGAGGGAGGACGTTTTTCCTTTGCCTTGGGCCAGCCACTACCCTGGACACACCTGAACTCCCATGAGTTGTCAGAGTGGCACGGGAGAGTCCATCTACCCCACGAACTCTAACAACCCAGCTCTGAGCCTGCCACGTGGCCTGTGCCAGGAGAAGACACTCGCAGAAGCCCGTGATGTTAAGACACTTACCATAGTGTCAGCTGAACACAGCCTGTGCGAAGCTGCGTGCTGGACACCAGGGCTCTGAATCTGCCCTCCACAGGATGGGGAACCAAAGAATTCAAGGTCACAGCTTAGCAACGCAGTGCTGTGAAGTTCAAAGAGGTCAGATTCCTTTTCTCTGAGGTGGACAGGAGACCTGGGCTTACAGAGTGGCTTCTTATATGGCAAATTGGAAAAACAGAAAGGGAGGAAATCCTGAGTGAGAGCCAGGGCATGGTGAGGTGGGAGCCGGGAGAAGGTGGAAGGCGGTCGAAGGTAGAGCGGGCAGGCTCGCTGGCAGGGCAGAGGGCTGAGCCAAGGTCAGGCTCATGGTGAAGGCCTGGTGGTAGATGTCCTGCCCACTGGGGTCCTTTACCGAGATGGCAAAGTCTTCTTTGTGGCACTTTCTGTTCATTTCTTTCTTGTGTTGGAGATACCTCGAGAGGGAGTTAGAAAGAGTGTGGACCTCTTTGCTGTAGTGAGAAGTGACTTTGACACATCTAAAAACGGCCCAGTTTGGGCCCTCCCTGGTGGCACAAGGGGTTAAAGCGCAGCACTATGAAGCTGTCCACAGCCACTACAGCACAAGTCCGATCCCGGGCCAGGGAGCTGACCCACATGGCGCCGCAGACCCCTCCTGTCTCACGCATGGCTCCCCTCGGCAGTGTATTTCACTCAATCTTCCATTCTTCTTCCCGCTCTGTCTCTGGTGAATCGTCTCACCCCCCCATACCTCTGGTCCGTACCCCAGTTCTGTATGCATCAATAAACAATCTTTAAAAATATTTTAAAAAAAACTGTCTAGTCCAATTCCCCAGCCTCAATTGATGCCTTTGATTGAGTTGAGTTGATTGTATGTTTCCCCTCCCCACAAATGGGCATCCTATGAATATTGGAAAATTGACCACTGGAAAAGAGCTCACCCTTCACAGAGCCTGTCTCCTCTTCAGATGGCGCTGCTGAAGCTCTTCCTTCTGGGAACCTGCAGCACACCCTCCTGCAACTTAGATCAGTGCCCTGTGCCCGCCCACTTGCCCCACCCTCTGCCCTGTAGCTGCTCAGAATTGATGACTCCTTGGCGACAGGCAACAGCCAGCTCAATCCAAACTCATTCAAGGAAAGAGAAAAAAATCAAGGGGAATATCAGCTTCAAGTGCAGATGGATCAGGACTGTTTTTTTTGTTGTTGTTGTTCTTGTTGTTTTTTTTCCCACCTCTTTGCTCTGCCTGCTTTTGATTTGCTTTGTTCTCTAGTTCCTGGCAGTGGCGAGATGGCTACCGGAATTTTCTCTGTCCGATCCAGCAGGCCAGACATCTTCCTTGACCCCAATACTACCAATAAAAGCATCATTGAATGTCATGGGCTCTGCCCAGCCCCTACCCAATCACTGAGACCAGGGAATCACGAAATATTGATTGTTGCAGACCTGGGTCACATGCTTCCTCCCGAAGCTGGGAAGGGAATCCTCACCCAAAGCCGCTGAGTTGAGAATGGGGAAAACATAAACCTGCAAGCAGACACTGATACTTTGGAGTAAGGAAGATGTTTGACGGGGATCCAAAAAAACAAGGGCCAGGTCACCCCCTTCATTGTGAGCTCTGGTCCAACCCCAGAGTCTTTGGTCAGTGGAGGAGATACCCTGAGCTCCACAATCGTGCCCCCCAGGACACCCCCATCTTTGTCTACACAGGTGTGCAGCGCTGCTGTTAAACTAAGCTGTGCGGACGCCCCAAGGCTAGTCCTCAATCACCCAGACTTTCCCATGTCCACTCCCTTTGGCGACCCAGTCATCCTCCCGAATGACTGAGTGCCTGCCTTTCTCAGTCAGCAAAGTCAAGTCAGCTGTGGAGGGGAAGCTGTGGGCTCCTAGAATGTAAACTCAGCTTGCTCCCACGGAAGGATTTTTAACTGAAGACAGCTCTCTCCTCATGCACACATGGGCTCTGCTCCCCAAGGACGGGACTGCAGACTGCATCCTCACTCTCCTAAGCCCCGCCAAGCAGGCAGCCACTTCCGTGTGTTGGACAAGACTGGCTCCAGCAGCTGTCCAGCAAAGAACTGAGTGGACAAGGGGGTGACGAAGTAGAGGCATGTGACCAACAGGGACCGGGCAGAGCTCCCTGGGGCTGCCCAAAGGCTGCGCATATTCAGAAGGTCACATTTGTGGAATGTGGGGCATTTTCTCACCAAGGAAGCAGGGGGTCAGAGCTTCTAGCAGCCTCAGAAAGGCCTTCTTAAGAAATAAAATAGGCCCTCCCTGGTGGCGCAGCGGGTTAAAGCACAGCACAAAGAAGCTTCAGCCACTTCCCCATGAGTTCGATCCCCGCCTGCCCCGAGGAGATACCACATGGCGCGGCAGACCTCTCCTGACCCGCCCGCTGCTCCCCTCAGCAGTGTACTTCGTCGATCTACCTGTTCTGTACCCCACTCTTTCTGTGGTGAATCCTCTCACCCTCCGCATCTCTGGCCTGTACCCCAGTTCTGTACGAACAAATAAATAAATCTTTAAAAAAAAAGAAATAAAATAAACTCAGCAGTCCCGCCTCTATTCCAGATGCAGCTACCATGCCGAGGAAATCACCAAAGTCACGCCTCTGGGGATCATTTTTTAACCCCTGAGAGGTATTGTCCACTACAATGATTCATCCATATTGTCCAGCATTTTGGCTCTTTACAAAAAACCAAAGTCAATGTTGGAGAATACAACTTTGCAACAGCTTCTAATAATCTCATTTCCAAAAGACACACTTTGTATCTCAATATTACTGACCCGGCTGCCCTGAGAATGTCCTGGTCACCTGCAGACAGCATGGTGACACCCACCTAAAGAGACCCCCATAATTGTGGTTGCTGTCATGCTCACCACCCCCAGAATCCAAGAGGAATTTCAGAAGAGCCGTGAGTTGGTCCTAGTCCTGGATTAGCTTCCAGTGTATGTGATACATATCTCTGTCCGCTAAACAGCTCCAGGGAAGTGGAAAGTGCTCATTGCTCATCCCATTCTGGAAAGACCTATTGGCTTGGAAAGAGGCTTGCCAGTGCCCATAGCCACAGATCTGAGCTGTCCTTTGGAAGCCAAGCAACAGCCTTTGGCTCTTTATTCTACAATGGAAAAGAGGGAGAGAGAAATGGAGGAGAGGGCGTAGAGACTAACTTCTCTTGTCCAAACTAAATATTCCTACTTCTTTCATCTTCATTCAAGTAGTAATATTTACAAGACCTCTGAGGATATAGCTCTACAGACCCCGTACTGAAAATGCATTAAGCCAAATTCCACATCATAAAGCATCATCCCCTACTTCCAGGATCGAGGTGAAGCTCAGT